ATTGCTCCACGTTAGGTCCTGTGGGGCCAAATAAATAAAGTTGTCCCTTTTCCACCTGACAGTCTTCTAAACACTTGAACAACTTCCTTGTATCTCACGCAAGTCTTTTCTAGCCTAAATATCCTCAGTTCTTCATGCATTAAGTACTCCATGCCTTTCACCGACCTTGTTGTTCTCCTCTGAGCACTCTATGACTTATCAGTGTCTGTTAAACTGTGAGGCCCAAAACTGAACATAGTGCTCCAGAAGAGGTCTGACCTGGGCAGAGGACTCTGGAAATATTGCCTCCTTGTCCTGGATTTTTCCTTATCTCTGTATTCTTGATGTAGCCCAAGATCTCTTTATCTTGTTTTGACTGCTACATCACACTGCTGATTTTTATTCAGCTTGCATTCCACCAAAACCCCCAGATCTTTTCAGAACAGCTACTGTCTGTCCCTATCTCCCCCTTCTTGGCAAGTTGATTTTTGCTGCCAAGATAGACGACTTTACCTTGAGCCCTGTTGAATTTCATCTTATTAGATTCAGCCCCATCCTCCAGCCTGTCGAAATCCTTTTGGATCATGATTGTCATCCCTTGTGTCTGCTGTCTCTCCCAGCTTTGGGGCCTTTGCAGATTTGAGGAGCATGCTATCTTTGTCCCTATTCAAGTCGTTGGTAAATATGTGAACCAGCCCAGGGCCAAGCATAGAGACCTCCTGCTGTGTTAACTGTGACCCATGAGCCCAGCCATTCAGCTAGGTCTGAATCCATCTAGTTGTGTTGTTATCCAGTCCACATGACATTGTGTATCAAAAGTTTTACAGAAATTTAAGTAAACTGTATCCACAGCATTCCCTTCCATTGGTTTAGTTATCTTGTCAGAAAAGGAAATGAGCTTAGTATGGCATGATCTGTTCTTGATGAAGCCAGACTGGCTCTTTGTCATCCCTGCTCCCCATTTTAGATGTTCAGCAACCGTCTCTTGAATGATACCTTCTTAGAAATTTCCAGGGAATTGAAAATCAAACTCACTAATTTTTTTAGAATTTTTATTTTAGAATTTTTTAGAAAAAAAATCTATGGTTCATAGACTATTCTCTTCCCTAGTTTGAAACTGAAGACATTTGCTATTCTCCAACTTTGTCTTCCTCTCATTTTCCCACAGTCTTTCAGGTATTGATGGCAATGACTCAGCAGTCACATCTTCTACTTCTTTTAGGATCTGAGGCTTTAGTTCATCTGGGCTGGGTAGCTTTAATTCTTCAGGAGCAACTAGGTGTTTTCTTCCTGTACTGTGTCCTGAGTTATCTCGGGCATCAGCTGTCTGCCTTAGTAAGGGACAGGGAAAAGCTGGGACTTGTGATTTCATTAACATAGGAAGCTCCCAGATGAGAAACTGCCCCCACCACGCTAGTTGCTATCTTCTTTGCTAATTACAGTCACAGAGTTGCCTAGACCTCTCTCCACTACGTCAATCTGCGTCTCATGTAGGGAGTTAACACAAATAAGTAAGACCAAGAGCCATGTCCAAATGATTAGGTTGTCAAAGGCTGTGAATAAACAATCCTTAAAGGAAGGATTATAAACTGTCAACAACCATGTGAAAGATTGTCTCAACTCATTAATAATAAGAATACGAATCAAAACAACTTTGAGGTTTTGCTTCACAACCAGCAAATTGATGAAGATAACAAAAGATAGAAATAATAAGTGTTGTAAGGGCTGAAGAGAGGTAGATATACCAATCTATGGTTGATGGAGTTGTGAAAACAGTTTTGGAAAGCATTTTGGAATTATGGTCAAAAATAAGTAAATGAATGAATGAGGTACTAAAATGTCCATCAGAGATTCTGTTCCTAGACATATGCCTCAAGAAGGTCAGGTCAGAATTCCAGAAGACTCATGATAGAATATGCTATCCACATCCAGAGAAAGAACTATGGTGTCTGAATGCAGATGGAAGCATATTATTTTCACCTTTTTTTAAAAAAAAAATTCTTTCTCATGGTATTTCCCTTTTATTCTGATTCTTCTTTAACAACATGACTAATGTAGAAATGTGTTTAATATGATTGTACATGTATAACCTATGTCAGATCAGGGTGAAAAAAATTTGGAATTCAGAATCTCATGAAAGTGAATGTTGAAAAAAAAAATAAGAGTTAGAAAAAAAAGGTGAAGTCAACAAGCATTTTATTACTTTGTGTTGGGTAGCTGAAATCTAGAGAATTAATCATGGCTGGTCTGGACCCTTCCATGGAGGTTCCAAAAAGAACTCTCCAATAGGAGAAGAGGATCACAGTAATGGAGAGAGAGGGCAGATGAAGCGTTAGTGGCAGTGTGGGAATGAAGCATAGTTGGTTTGAGCCCTTCCTCAAAATGGAGATTCCTGGAGGAACTTGCCAATGGGAGAGGGGCTGAAGGACAGAGGGAGGGGGCAGATGGAGCTTGGTGGCAAAGTGTGGACGGTGAATATGGGAATAAAAGGTCTCATGCACAAAAATATTCATAAGCATCACTTTAAAAAATATTTTTTTTATTTTATTAAATATTTCCCAATTACATTTTAAAATTTTTTACCATTGTTTTTAAAAAATTTGAGTTCCCAATTCTCTCCCTCCCTCCTGCCCCCTCCTCTACCCCTTGAGAAGGCAAGCAATAGGATATTGATTGTACTTGTGAAGTCAAAGCACCACTTTTTGTGGTAGCAAGAAGCTACAAAACAGTTTCTTCTCTTCCCCCCCCCCCCCCGCCAGCTGTTGGGGCTTGGCTAAGCAAATTGGGGTAGGTGAAAGGAAGGAAACATTCCTCTGCACTGTGAGATACAGTGACCCTGAAGAATTCAGAGAAGCTGAGCAGAAAGAAAAACTGAATGTGCCCTGCAAGGTGATTACGAATGACCCAGATGGGAGACCTCGGGTGTGAAGTACTCTGTGCACTCTGGGGTTCAGCCAGGGTGTTGCTGAAATTATGTTTTTCCTTTTTAAATTCTTTGTTACTTGGGGATGGCTTGCTAGCTAGAGGAAAGGACATTTGGAAATGTAGCTGATGTAAAAACAAGATAGCGACAAAAAAATTTAAAGCACCCTTGTGAAAAGCCATCAGTAGAAACAGAACTGATGAAGCGACTGCTTCTTTGTCTGCTGCTTTTTCCCCTTTACGTGTGAAATTCTCCTTGGCTTTTAAAATCTCTCCTTGTTTTATCCACAAGCATTCACAGTTCTCCTCCTTCCTTCTTCTACCATATGCCCCAAAGAAACAAATAACAAAAAAAAAAAAAGAAAGAGAAAGAAAAATTCATCCATCACCTGAAAATTAGTCAGTTGTTTTGGAAAAACATTTACTTCCTCTACTATTTTCCATGCTCCAGTTCCAGTTTCTGAGCTTGATTTACTGATTACCTGCTTTTTGCACACACTCTCCCCATTCCTGTTTATTCAGTCTACTTGTTTACCAGCATTACCATCCTCTGACTTCCAGCTGTCGTGAACCCAGCTCTAACAACTCTGTTGCCTAAATCAGGCAGCCTTGGATTCCCTTAATCTCATAGATGACGCACTCAGTTTCTGCTCTCTTTTTCCCCATAAAACATAAATCTTGTGTGTCTGACAATTTTCTTTGCTTGGAGCAACCTCGTGCTGGGGAATAATCAGAGCTAGGACCAGGCTGCCATAGGGCAGGGTAACCTTCCCACTGCCTTCTGGATGGTAAGTAGGTCACAAAGGGATGTTTGGGGTCTAGTTGATCCCTGTCAGAGGTGAGAGGCATGCATCATTAGGAGTCAATCAATAAATGAAAAAAGAACTTCGGTCATCTGTTTCACTTCTGCCTGTGTGATTTGTGGCTGTGCCTTCCAGAGCCGCTCCTAAGAGGGTTAGGGGCCTGAAACTTGGGCTGTTTATCCAAGTGCATTATTGTTTGGGTTTTGCTTTTTCTGGGAGAAAGAATTATAAACAGTGAAGTTCTCCAAAGCAAACCCACAATAATAAATCTAAACATAACCACACTCTAAAAACTAAGCCCAAATAACGAATAAATGTGAGGTCTTTGCATCAGAAGGGAAATGGACTCTGAAGCAGGCCTACAAGGTAACTCCTTATGCTCACAGCAGAGAGGCTGATGGTCCAGGGACCTCCTGGCTCAACTGTTGACCTCCCCCAAAGCCCTCGGGACAAATAAAGTTGCTTAATTCACCACTTCTTTAGTTTCTGCTTCTGTGAAAGAGAAATAACACCACCTGCCTCTCACCGTGCTGTGTTGTGAAGGCTTTTAAAAATGACGTACATAAACCTCCTTTGAGATCCTTGGGAGAAAGGTAGTGTTAATACAAAATATTTTCATTCTGGACTTCCAGGAGTTAGTGGTAGATTTCCAAGAGCTAAAACAGCTGGTGTCACCTGGCAATATCATACTTTTGGCTGTAAGGCTGCACCCAGCTTTTCAGAGAGTCAGCAAGTAGAAGAAGAAGGATCCTTTGGGACGTGGACCAGGAAAGGAGTTCTCACTGGTTAAATAACTTGAAGAACTAGTTGTTGAATTTCTTTGTTGCCTGTTAAAAGATGAAATGTGACCTACTGGTGTTCCACTGAACGCTTCATTTTCCTGATTTTGCTCTAATGCCAAATGCTAAGAAATGATGACTCTTCTGTAGGGCTTTAAGATTGACAAAGCACTCGTCTCACAACAACCTGTGGAGGTCTCACAGGGAGGCTCAGAGAGTTGTCACTTACCCAAGGTTACACAGCCAGGAAGTGGTAGAGCCAGGACTGAAATCCAAACTTGGCTTTCTGACTCTTGTACCATAATTGAGCATGGTTGCTTGTAGAGAGTTCCTGGATCATTGGAATTTGGTTTCTTCATAGGCCAAAATGGGCGCTACTATAAAACTGGCTACCGTAAGTGATATCTGATAGGGTGGATGATAGATGGAATTTTCATTTGGCTTGCCATCTGTTATCAGTTCTAATTATTCTCGTTATGCATGCATATAACTTGGTTCACTTAATGCTATTTCTCAGGAAGAGAATGGGGACTATACATATGTGGAAAAAGTAAAGATACCCTTAGATCATGGCGCCTTGTTGATGATGGAGGGAGCGACACAAGCTGATTGGCAGGTAAGAACAGAGAAGCAGTGTGAATAGCATCTCTTGTACAGTTTCCCAGATGTAGCCTAGGACTGTGAGTTTAGGAAATGCCATGATTTCATGATGATTGAGACATTAAATTAATGTCACATCAAGCTTGATAATGCTTATTGATTGATGATTGCCAGTAAGTTTGATATTATATATGAGGCTTTAGTCAAAAAGTATTTCAGGCCAAGTTCTCTTTAAAGTGTTAAAGGGCTAGGAAATGATGGATCAGTTACCACTTAAGGGATAAGTGTCTCATGCTGCCCTTTGATTTACGTTGAAAGACTTGCCATTTAGGATCCTTCGTGTGGGACTGGGGAGAATGGCAAGAGGTTGAGATGAAGAATAATGCTTGGGGAAGGTGAAGCTATTTCAGTGCTAGAATGTTCTCACTTTGTGGTAGGGGGATGTTAGAAGGTGGGGAGAGAATTTTTATACAGGAGTTCATTATCCGTGTTAGTTTGAAACCTTTGTCATATCCACTTTAGGGAGGTTAGAATAGCATTGTTCCTCTTTTCTTAAAATTGCCTTTAATGCAGATTATAACTAACTGTAGTTGTTTATAAAGTATAGTTGTTAAATAACTTGTCTGTTTCTCTGCAGCACCGGGTGCCCAAGGAATACCATTCTAAGGAAGCAAGAGTGAACCTGACCTTTCGAACTGTTTTCTCTGAGCCCAGTGGGATGGATTCAACAGTGACCTAAGAGCCTTCTGAGAGAAGCTGCCTTTGGAATGAGTCCACCTTTTGATATCAAGTATTCCAAGGTGGATGTGGGCATGGACATTCAGGTCTCCTAGCAATACAGCTCCACAGGAGATGGGAGTCTAATTGGTACCTTAGCAGAGGGTTCTGTGAAATGGCAGCAAGCAGTTCATGTTTGAAATATGTTTCTTGTGGGAATAGTAATCTCTAAACAGGTCTCAGACTTGTGGATTTGCTGTGTTCAAATTAAAATCTATTATGGTTGTACTCACAGATGATTTCTTCCATTGGCTTTTCTTTTTCTTTCATTTGTATACAGGGACTATGAATGGATGGATTTGTGTCCCCAGGGGAAAATAGCATGTTCCTCTCCCTGTGACTTGAGAGAAGGTGAGATGTAAATGTGTCACCATCTTTGGATTTCCGTCTGGTCAGACAGCTGCTGAAATCCAAACAGAGGTGTTTTTCCTGGGCTGCTTTGAAACTTGCCTTGACTTCTTGACTTCTGTGCTATTGTCATGGAAGGCTGTATATTCAGAGTACACTTTGAATGACACTGAGTCATCCAGCCTCTCCGGGCTCTACCGTAGCTAGTCCCTCAAACCCGAGAACCTCAGGCAGCTGATCCAGTTGGCCCAGCTACCTTTGGGCAGTCAGCAGTACATGTTTAACCTCATGAAGAGAAGAATCATTTAGTGATGTAAGGAGAAGTAATAGGTTGAAATTTAGGCAAAATAGCAGAGCAGATATCCGGGTAGTGACATCTGTTCCTCACAGATTAGCCTCCCCTGGAGAATTGCTGCAGTCATTTAAAGCCAAGGCAAATAGAACCCTAGTGAATAAATATCATGTTGGAAGCTGTCCTTCCTGGGGGCTGTTGGGAATGGACTAGATTATCTAAGGATTCTTTCCTCAAATTTCAGCAACCCTGTGACTAAGCTTTTGAGTCCATTACATCACTGAGGTTCCCAAAACAGCTTAGGGTTGCTGCCTCTTAGTGCATCATAAACATGTGCTTTTGTGAACTCTTGGTCAGGAGAGGCATGCAAGCATAGTTCCAAACCATGACTGGGAAATCTTTTAAGAAAAAGGAAATTAGTTTAAATAAGTGAGAATGGAACAAGAATATGGACTTAGCAGTTGTGGAAATAACCTCATTGCTGAACTGTCTCCTTTTTATCCCATCTCTGTTCCATGCTGTTAGATCTGTGATCCTGGTGCCCATTGTAAAGAGGCTAGAGGGTATTTGGTTTAAGAGGAGGATAGAGTTTGTTGTTTGCTGAGCTGTGTAGCCTTTCTTTTTTGACATCTCACCATTACAGTTTCCATTATTTTTGCCATTGGCTTTTATAGAGCACCTTTCCTCCAAGGAATGTGAGGCAATTTGTAGAACCTGTGAATTACCCTGGTATTTTCAAGGAAGATATGAATGCTTTCTGTTAAAGTAAAAGCAAACCTCTACTGTGTTTCCGCCTCTTTCTTGTTGACAGACTAACCAACATTAGCCGAGCAACCCATTTGGTGGTGGGTTCAGTAATGGTCATTTGGAATGTCCTCTTTCATTCCTTTGGATGCCAGCAGACTATACAGGTCCTTCAAGATCCTTCCCAGTGCAGAATCATGACTTCACATGTCTCAGGCTGACAACTGTAACCTTCACACCTGCATCTTGCTATTTCTGTTAGAGTGATGCCTACTGAGCAGCACTGCTGAGCTCAGGCTGAGTCAGCAGCGAGATGTGACACTTCAGAGAAGGCTCAGGTGACCATCCAGTGTCCAGATGGAACAAGGTGTCTCACCTGCTCTATTCTTTCCTAGTCAGAAGACATCTGGAATATTGCAGCCATTTATGGGCACCATGTTTTACTGATGCATTTCAATTTTTGATTTTCCAGTAGGCCACTCAACCCCACATGGTCCCCATCTTTATAAAAAAAAAAAATGACAGCTAAGCAGTGTCCCATATAACAGTAAGTGGCAATCTGTAGCCCTTAGTCCACTTCTCTGCAGAAAAGAAGGAATTCTCTTCCACCATCAGTCATCTGGAGCTATTAGTCATTGCATTATTGCAGTCAACATGCATATTGTTCCCCTGACTTTGTTTGCCCTGTTCTTCATCAGTTCATGGTTTGCCATGTTTCTCTGAATCTTTCATATCCATCAGTCTTTTTTTCTTTTTGAATTTTTTTCCATCAGTCTTTATAGCCAAATTGCATTCCATTACAAAGTTATACTCTGCTTAGTCATTCCCCAGTTTGTTCACAGTTTTTTGCTACTACAATAAACACTACTAGTTGGTAAGCCTTTATTAAGTACCTCCTATGTGCTAGGCATTGTGCTGTGTGCTGGGAATACAAAGAAAGCCCCCCCCCCCCCCCCCCGAAAAAGACCCTGCTCTCACAGAAGTCACAGTCTAATGGAGGAGACAACATGAAAACAATTATGTACAAACAAGATATATGAGGGATAAATTAGAGATAATAGGAGAAAGGGTTATCCTTAAGGAGGAATGTAGAAAGGCTTCTCATAGAACATGGAATTTTAAGTGGGACTTGAAAGAAGCCAGCAAACCTCGAAGGCAGAGATGCAAAGGGAACAGAATTCCAAGCATAGGGAACAGTCAGTGCAAATGCCTGGAAACAGAGATGGAGTGTCTTGTGGACACTGGGATGAAAGAGGAGGGAGTAAGGTTTAGGAGGGGGCCATGTTGTAAATGGCTTTGGATGTCACACAGGATTTGCTGGAAGCCACTGGAGTTTACTGAATGGGGGTATGACATGGTCAGACCTGTGCTTTTAGGAAGATTAGTTTGACTAATGAGTCAAACGAGTGAGGGCCAACTGGAACTGGGAGAGACCTGTGGCAGGGAGAACAGTGAGAAGGCCTTTGTAATGGGACAGGCATGAGGTGATAAAGGCCTGCACCAGGGTGTGAGCTATGTTAGAGAATCCAAAGGGGCCCATGTGGGACATGTGTAAAGATAGAATCGACTAGACTTTGCAAGTTTGGATATGGGGGAAGAGAGAAAGTGAAGAATCAAAGATGATGCCTCAGGGGATGAGGAAGATGGGGGTGCCCTGGACGGTAATAGAGAAGTTAGGAAGAGGCGGGGCAGGGAAATAATGAGTAAAGTTTTGTACTGTGAGTATTTCAGCACATATGGGACCATTCTTGCTGTCCTTAATCCCCTTGGTATTTAGGCATTATGTGACCTGGGATGGCTGGTTAAAATAAACTTTTAAAGGAATAGTAAATTTGGGGGGTAATTTTAAATTTTGGGGTAACTTTCTCACATAATTCCAATTTTTTTTAAGTATAGTTGAACTAATTTTTCAGCTCCCTGCCTGTCTTCCCCAACAGTGCATTACTGTGCCTATCTTCCCATTGCTCTTCTGATCTGGATATTTCTTTTTGTCACTCTTGCCAGTTTGGTGGACGTGACATGAACCTTGGAATTTTGATTTGCATTTCCTTTATTAGTAGTGATTTGAAATCATTTTTGTGTAGTTGGCGGTGGTTTGTATTTCTTTTGAAAATGTGCCTGACCTTTGATTTGTCTATCAGGGAAGTTTTTAGTTTTTAAAATTTCTCTCAGTTCCCCATATATTCTGGGTGTCAGACCTTTGTCAGAGATTGTAAGATTTTTGCTTCAGAAAGGATGTAGAGGTGAGTTAGTCCTGCCCCTTCATTTTTTTTTAATTAAGAAATTTATTTTTAGTTTTCAACATTTACTTCCACAAGATTTTGAGTTCCAAATTTTCATCCCATCTTGCCCCTCCCCCACCCCAAGATGCCATGCATTCTGAATACCCCTTCCCCTAGTCTGCCCTCCCTTCTATTTCTTCCCCCCTTCTCTTATCCCCTTCCCCTTCTATTTTCCTGTAGGGCAGGATAGATTTATGTAACCCATTTCCTGTATTTCTTATTTCCCAGTTGCATGTGAAAACATTTTTTTTAAACATGTGTATTTAAAACTTTGGGTTCCAAATTTTCTCCCTTCCTCCCTCCCCACCCACCCTCATTGAAAAGGCAAGCAACTCAGTATAGGCTATACATGTGCAGTTACGCAAAACACTTCCATAGTAGACATGCTGTGAAAAACTAACTCTATTTCCCTTAATCCTATCCCACCCCCCCCATTTCTGTTCTTTCTTTTGACTCTGTCCCTCCTCAGAAGTATTTGCTTCTGATTACCCCCTTTCCCAATCTGCCCTCCTCTCTGTCATCCCCCTACTTTCTTGTCCCCTTCCCCTCCTGTTTTCCTGTAGGGTAAGACAGATTTCCATACCCAATTGGGTGTGTATGTTATTCCCTCCTTAAGTCAAATCCTATGAGCATAAGATTCACTCATTCCCTCTCACCTTCCCCTGTTTCCCCTCCACCGTAAGAGCCTTTTCTGGTTTTTTTTTTTTGGAAGATAATTTACCCCGTTCTACCTCTCCCTTTCTCCTTCTCCTAGTGTAATCCTCTCTCACCCCTTAATTTTATTCTCCAGATATGACCCCTTCATATTCAACTCACCCTGTGCCATCTATCTATCTATACATATGTATAATTTTTCCCTCAAACTACCCTAATACTGACAAAGGTCTCATGAGTTACAAATATCATCTTTCCATGCTGGAATGTAAACAGTTCAACCTTAATAAGTCTCTTATGATTTCTCTTTCCTGTTTACCTCTTCATGTTCCACTTGAGTCTTGTATTGGAAAGGCAGATTTTCTATTCAGCTCTGGTCTTTTCATCAAGAATGCTTGAAAGCCCTCTATGTCACTGAATGACCATTTTTTCCCCCTGAAGAATTATACTCAGTTTTGCTGGGTAGGTGATTCTTGGTTGTAATCCTATCTCCTTTGCCCTCCGGAATATTATATTCCATGCAGTCCCTTAATGTAGAAGCTGCTAAATCTTCTGTTATTCTGATTGTGTTTCCACAGTACTTGAATTGTTTCTTTCTGGCTGCTTGTAATATTTTCTCCTTGACCTGGGAACTCTGGAATTTGGCCACAATATTCCTAGGAGTTTTCCTTTGGGGATCTCTTTCAGGAGAAGATGGGTGGATTCTTTCAATTTCTATTTTGCCCTCTGGTTCTAAAATACCAGGGCAGTTTTCCTTGATCATTTCTTGAAAGATGATATCTAGGCTCTTTTTTAGATCATGTCTTTCAGATAGTCCAGTAATTTTAAAATTCTCTCTCCTGTATCTATTTTCCAGGTCAGTTGTTTTTCCAATGAGATATTTCACGTTGTTTTCTAATTTTTCATTCTTTTGG